CATCCATCTCGTCCTCCCGCACACACCTCGCCACTGTCGCTGCCCAGTCCGCAGCCCCAGCGGCAAAACTGGGGACGACCTGTCGTCTGATGACGACATGAGGGAAGCCAGGCCTACACCCCCCCCCGCCGTTTCCCGGTACCCGACCCCGTGACGTTCTCTTCTTTCTTCAAACTACTTATACTGAACAAAGAAAAATGATTGATTTTTTCTGTCAGGGGTTTTCCTTCCCCTTAGGAGGTTGCCTTACTCGCTAACGGGGCCTCCCCCCCGGGTGTTAAGTCAGTGTTTTCCTTCACCTAGTGCGTGGACAAGTCCTTTTTAGGGTCTGCACACCCATCACACCCCGTTTCATCCATCACCAGACACTCCAGCTCGGGTACCTCGGGATGCGACACCCTACACTACGGATTAGTTCGTAGTGCCCCTGAGGGATCCGGTCTACCTCTGCCGTGCTTTTTTTTTTTTTTTTACGCTGGGGAAACCATCATGGTATCGCGCACCCCGGTAGGGGTGCGAATTATGTGGGACTCCTTGTTCCCCTTGATCGAGCCACGAATGGTTCGACCAAGGAGCCCAAGACCTACCTCACTAAAACCCCAGCGGGTGTTCTTCCCGGGCATTGGATAGGGGCGCGAGGATGCTGTATCCCATGCCGACTCGCCGCTCCCCCGCCAAGCCATCTCCGGGGAGCTGCCTCAGTCTTGCGACCGAGATCCCTCCCCTATCGCACAGTCAATGACTGTGCGGTTCCCTCGCGGTTGCGGAGCAGGGCGAACACCGGCCCCACGCCGCACCCTCCCAAAGAGTTTTGGGGGGAGGGGCCATGGCTCGAGAACTCCCCTTGAGCCATCGCCCCCCGCCCCCCTGCTGGACGCATCCCCCTACCCCCAGAGGGTGATCCAGTTCGGCGTTCCACCAGGGGAGCCCTTGCCAGGGGACTCCTCTCAGAAGGAGAGGAACCCCCTCCGTGGACGACGTTGCCCTCCCACCGGTGCCTTATGGCTCCCGGTGAGAGGCCCCGTACGTCACGTCCTTTCATTTGAGGGGGCCCAGGCACCCCAGGCGGACGGGCAATGCCCGGTCCTCGGGCCCTCGGTCCCCCCGTTTGCGGCTTCCTCCCTCCCGTTGGGAGTTAGGATTCCGTCGCAACCAGGGGGATTTCCTGTTCGGGGGCGCGGCCGCGCCTGCCCCGCCTAGGCAGGGC